AATTCAGTTCCCAGTCAAGTCAAGACATCACCTCATCATTGGTCCTCTTCAAAAACCAAGGACCATCACTACCACCACCACCAACAAAAGGGGAAGGCTAGCACTAGTACCTCTCAGGGTTGTCCAGAGGCTAAATGAGAGTGTATTTAAAGTGCTTTATACGTTTTTTGGGGGGAGGCAATGAGAGTTAAGTGACTTGCCCAGGGTCACACAGCTAGTATCTGAGGTCAACTTTGAATTCAGGTCCTCCTGACTCCAGGGCCAGTCACTGTACCACCTAACTGCCCCAAAATGCTTTATAAATCTTAAAGCACTATATAAATAGAAGTTATTGTTATGATTTATAAAGAATTGATCATTTTTATGTAGATTATATTATATATTATTTATATATAATGTATAGTTTATACACAATATAAATATATTATGTATGTTATTATAGGGAATTTGAGATCTCTCCTGGAGTCTGGATACTAGCTAACGAACTCAACTAGCTTGGTGAGGAGTTGGGATGTTGTGAGTACTTTGTCTGAATAAAACGGACCTCTCCTGGTAGCTAAACATTCAAGCCTCAACCCTGGAGCTAAACCCTGCCCACCCCCACCCCCCCAAACTCCTAGTGATACCCATCTGACAGTATCTTTTTCTCACTCCTGTGTAGGATTCCCACCAGTAATATTTGGCTACTTTGGGCCTAACTATAGACTGGTACAGAATTTACTGACCATACTGGAAACTGTGACAAACACCTGAAGGGACTCTGGCTGTTATTCACCCAATTCATGAAGCTACCCCTTCAGCTAACCTAGCTGTAGTTAACACTGTGTTTTCTTCAAAGAACTCCAAAGTCATTGTTATCTAAATGGGTCACCCACTGGAGATCCAGCAACTGTGATATGGTGGAAAGAGGACAGGATTTGGAGGCTGGAAACCTAGTTTTGCAAATAACAATGGAATAATTTATTGTATATAATTGTAAATAATTTATTATATATAATTTATTGTTGCTGAGTTGTTTCTCAGTTGTGTCCCACTCTTCATGACCCCAGCTGGTGTTTTCTTGGCAAAGATACTGGAATAGTTTGCCATTTCCTTCTCCAGCTTGTTTTACAGATGAGGAAACTGAGGCAAAACAGGCAAAAGTGACCTGCCCAGGGTCACACAGGAAGATAAATTTTCCTGACTCCATGCCTTCTATCTACTGTGCCACCTAGCTGCTCCCAAACAATAATAATAGTAAGCCTTTATATAGGGTTTTAGGGTTTGTAAAGTACTTTACATATATTATATCATCTCAGGTTCACAAGACTAGGAGGTGGGTGCTATTATTATCTGCATTTTACAGATGAAGAAACTGAGTCTGGAGCAGGTTAAGTGACTTTGCCAGGGTTATGTAGCTAATAAGTGTCTGAGGCAGGGTTCAACTTTTGCTGACTCCAAGTGCAACACTACGTTCATTTCTTGCCTATTATGTCTAGATATTAGAGATAAAAAGATGAAAAACACTTAGTTGACATCCTTAGGGAGATTACTATCTAGTAGAGGTTAAAGGACCTATACCCAAATAAATGTGATAAAAGGGAGATTGTGAAATGAGTAAAAGAGCAATCCGATAAAAGACTATAAGGAGGGGGAGCTAGGTAGTGAAGTTGATAAAGTTCGGGGATAAAGCACTGGTCCTGGAGTCAGGAGGGACCTGAGCTCAAATCCAGCCTCAGATACATACTAGCTGGGTTACCCTGGGCAAGTCACTTAACCCTCTGGCCTCAAAAAAAAAAAAAAAACCAACTATAAGGAAATTTGAGGAGAGAGGGATCACTTTCAGCTGGGGACATTAGAGAAGGCTTCACAGATGAGGTGGGGCCTAGACTGGACCCTGAATGAAGGAAAGGATTTTAGTAATAATAGATTTACATCACAGTACTTTAAGGTTTACAAAGTATTTTACAAATATCTCATTGTATCCTTACAGGTAGGAGCTGTGAGGAAAACTGAGGCAGACAAAGTTTAAGTGATTTGCTCAGAGTTGTATAGTTAGTAAGTATCTGAGGCTAAATCTGAACTCAGCTCTTCTTGACTCCCCATCCAAAGCTCTATCTACTGCACCACCTAGCTGCCTCTGATAGAAGGAAGAGATGTGGTAGCAGTGTCCTCCAGGCATGTAGGATTGCTTATGAAAACGCACGTAGACCTAACAGGCAGGATGCTGCATTTGAATCTGGACCTGAGAATACATGAGGAGGAGTGTGGAATAAGGAAGGAGGCAGATTGTGGATGGCCTGAGGTGACAGGCTAAATACTGAATATTGAGACAATAGGGAGCCTTTGTGTTTCTTAGTAGAGGAATGATAGGGTGATATGTGTTCGATATTTTGGCAGTTGTATGAATGATGGACTGGAAAGGGGAGAAGCTGCAATCAGGAAGGAAAGGAGGCAAAATAGAACAATGGTTAGGTTATCATAGTAGTCCGGCCAGAGGCTTGAGGGCCTCAAGCAGGGCAGAAGTGGTGATGCATGAATGGTAGACTTACATGCATGGTGTTTGACTGGATGTGGGACAGGAGGAGGAAAAGGGAAAAGCTAGATGAAACTAAGATTTGGGTTCTGTGTGAATGTTAGAAGGGATCTGCTGCCTGTCGGCACACAGGTATTAAGTATCAAAGCAAATATTCTAACCCAAATCTCAGGAATCTAAGTCCCAGTTCGGCTATCCACTTATTGTCATCGAGTCAACAGCTAGTAATTTGGCTAGAAGAATGGGAATTAAAGTTGGAAAGGTATGTTGAGACCAAAACGTGATGAGCCTTGGATGGCAGTCTGAGCAGGGAAGAAGTCACTAGAGGTATTTGGTTAGGGAAGGGATGTCATTAGTTCTGGACTCTATTAGAGTACTCAGGCAGGATGTATGAGGATGGGTTGGAAAGGGAGAAACAGGAGAACTTGGGAAAGAGAGAATGGTTAGGAAGATATTGTAATCGTCCAGACATGTTGATGAGGAAAAAATATATGAAAAAATAAAAAGGAAAATATAGAAGTACAAGATGTTATCATTATCAAAAATGACAGTAAACCTATATAAAAATCTCATATTTAGATTTTTTATTGAACTGAGAGAAATATATATATTTATGATTTATAATATAAATATATATATATAAATATAATACAAAAGTGATTTTCATTCTATGGTATAGAAGTGGTCAAAAGACACGAACTTTTTGGAGGGGGACATAAAAACCATTACCAATCACTTAAAAAATTGTTCAGACTCTTTAATAATCAAGAAATGCAAATCAAAACAACTTTTGAGATTATATCTTATACCTACCAAACTGGCAAAAAATAATTAAAGGACAACATAATTCAGTGTTGACATTGCTATGGAGAAACAGGTACTCTCCCACTTTTTAACTATTAGGCTGTTTCAAACCTTTTGGAAAGGAATTTGATAATGTCAAATTGGCCTAGGAAAACAAACCTTTGACTCCACTAATCTCATTGTAGGCAAGGCTATAACAAAGGTGAAGCAAGCAAAGCTGAGGGGGGCAAAGAAGAACAAATAAAATATTCAGTACTATCCTAAGAATGCCATACCATTAGGTTAGAAGGGCACAGTGTCATAATCTTGGCTCAGGAGCAGAATTAAGTAGTTATGGTCCTGCTGTTGGGATTTTATCCTAAGGATAAACTTTATCTTTTTATTAAAATATGATGACTTTTTTATTAAAAGAAAAAAAAAGATTGATGTGTGTCGAAATATTAAAAGACTTTAACTCTACTAGTGGTAAACAGGAAACAATCTGTATGCCCAGAGATTTGGGAATGGTCAAAAAAACTGTGATCTATCCATGGAATGGGCTATTACTGTGTCATGAACAGGACAAACATGAAGAAACTCAGCTTTTTTTGAAGGAAGACTGGTTCCTTGAAGCAGTGGAGAGTGGGGCAGGGGATAGTACTGTATTTGTATTCAGACGGCTAGCTCTGTCTTCACATCTCAGTTCTGTCATCTGCTATAGAAATAATTTGCCATCGGTTTCCTCATATATGAAATGAAGAAGACTTCTAAAAGGTCTCTCCTACCTTAAAATTGTGAGCTCCTTGAGGACAGGGTCTATCTTTTGCCTCTCTTCTTATCCCTGGCACTTAGCCCATAGTAGGCACTTGTTAAATATTTATTGATTGATTGAAATAAATGATCCTGTGATACAAAGTGAGGTCAGTGGAAAAAGAACCCAACAACAAAATTGACGTGGATTAAGAGTATGTTAATAGGGGAAGGAAAAAAAAATCCTTGCAACAAAACAACACCCCTTTGTGCCCAGAGTGCTTTATTTTGTTTCTTTCCAACGATAGTAGCTAGCATTTATATTAACACTTTAAGGTTTGCAAAACTCTTTTACAGTGCAATCTCAGTTGATCCACACAATGAACCTGAGAAATATGTGCTGTTATTATTATTATTATTAGCCCCACTTTAATATGAAAATTGAGGCACAGTAGGGTTCAGTGATGCGTCCTGGGGAAGTAAGTGTCTGCGGAGGCATTTGAACTCGGGTACTTTGTGAGCAGCGCTCGCTCACCACGCCACCTAGTGGCAGTACCTAGTGCATATCACTGTCTTTGGTGTGCAGTGTCTGGTCCCAGTTAGACTCTGCAATAGGACAGGGGCTCTGTCTCAACAGCACCCGCAGTTCCATTTACTGCAAGAGTTTTAGAAACCACGACTTCCTCTTTCCATCAGGATCAGGACTCTGCAAAGAGAGGGGGGAGGAGAGCAGACGGAGGGGCGGCCGAAAAAGGACCGTTTGTAGTCCTGGACGGTTGCCCTGGAGCGGTTGAGAATCTCTGCCAACTTTGCCCCGCCCGACTCCGAGATTCTAGCTAGGGGCGGGGCTACGAGGTTAGGAGAGGGCCAGTGATTGGTTGAAGGGGAGCTTCCGGAGGCCCTTCCGGTCTGGGTTCGGACACTGCTGAATGCTGATAGGACAGCTTGCTGTCAGGCTGCAGGGTCTGCTGGGAGGTGTAGTTTTCCCAGCCTGGGATTCTCGGACCACAGAAGACTTCTATGCAGCGGCCGCAAGCGCCATGTCCCGGGTGCAGGTGCCCTGTCACATCAAGGGGGCTGTGGCGCTGCAGGTGGGCGATGTGCGGACGGTTCAGGGCCGGCCCGGCGTCCTGGTCATCGACGTCACCTTCCCCACTGCCGGGCCCTTTGAGGTGAGCGCCGGCCCTAGGGGCTGGGCTGGGCCCGGGCCGGGCCGGGGCGGGGCTGAGGAGGAAGGCCGGCGCTTCGGGCTGACCCTCACCCTGTCCCTGAGCGGCCTGTACGGTGCAAAGGGTGAGGACGGAAGTCCAGTACCCTCCCACCTCTGGGCCTCAGTTTCCCTCTCTGTAGAATGCAAGTCAGACCGCATGACCTCCGAGGTCTCTGTCCAGCTGAGTGCATGATGAAGATGATGATAATGATCCCCCTTTCAATTTCTCTTTGTTCGAGGGCGTTGTTCACAATGGTTCTGGGAGTTAGATAATGCAATACCTGGGGGATCTGGGATCTCTGGACGTGGGTACTTTGACCCCTCCTGTTCTACTCTTATCCGATGTCCTTTTTAAATTCCTCAGAGGCGAGTCCACCAAACGCTTTTCTTCTAGTTTTCTTGACATTTGTGTTGGTTAATATCAATGGAGCCAATAAAAATAATAGTAATAACTGACATTTATATAGTGCTTTAAAGTTTGCACAATTCATAGGGCGTTTCATTTGAGCCTTACAACCTGTAAGGTAGATACTACAGGATTATTATTCTCATTTTGCAGTAGAGGAAATTAGGGCTTGGAAAGATGAGGTGAATTGTCCAGAGCTACATAGCTAATGAGCGTCAAAAGTAGAATTTGAATCTACATCTTCCAACCTCTCTCTAGCCTTGCTGCCTTGGAGCGCAGGGCTTTCCATTGGTTAACTCTCACATGACCAGCCTACCTCTTTTTTTCTGGTTATACCCCCTGATAAGGGATGCTACTCTTCCTGCACATTTCTTTGGTAACTTGTTGAAGCCTGTTTATACCCACTTTGAGCATTTCTTGATCGTCTGAGGCTATGATATTTTAGAACTCAGACCCTTTAAGTCTTCCCTCCAACAACTACTATGCACATGTCAAAGTGACAGAAGATTGCTTGAAAGGTGGCTCAGTTTAAGTGACTTTGCTTGACAGACATCTGATTATTAATATTAAAAGAGGCTTAAAACAGAAAGACATTTGCCACTCTATATAGGCTCCCCAATGCAGGGTCCAAATGGAAGAGGGATTGATCAGGTTATGATAGGCAGTTGGATAGAAAATGTATAGAATTGCTCTATTATTATTTATGACTTGGACAAAGACTTTGCACGAGTAATGGACTGGAGCCCAGAATTGAAGAGGAGGAACAATGGACTGGATTGTTTTTGAAAAATTATGAAGTTCTTTTAATGACCCCAAGCTTTTCCCCTGAAACAAAGGCCCATCTTTTTAACATCAATATCCTTCTAGTGATGTTGTGTGGCTCTGAGTCATAGCACACCATGGTTTGGGAAGAATTAAAGAACAATGAAGAGGCACATAATGCCACATAGTAGGCTGTAACACATTGCCAGTGAAGAATTACATAGCAGAAGTTGCAAATAGGATATCAGAGTGATGTATGATGGGAAAAGCATGTGGGTAAGTCATGTAATTGGATCAAGTGGTAACTAATGAAATCTGTACTTCATTGTTATCATGCAACAATAAGAAATCTAGAGGAAAACCTCTATCATATTGAGTGGAATTTATAGGATATGGATAAGAGTTACACAGGATGAGAAGGCCTGGCTGAGTTGAGATGTATGTCATTGGAAAGAGTACCCACATGGATGAGATCTCAGATCCATTTAAATATCCAAAAAGTCAAGTTGCATGTTATTGTGAAAGTTTAAAATTTTCCTTGAAAATGCAGGCTTACCTGTGAATGTAAGGGCTTTTAAAGGTTACCCAGATACACAAAACCCTGTCCTGATTCTGTCCTCTGTATTTGTCACTGGAGCATACAGTAAAAAATTTTGTAGATCTGGCCTGATTTTGTTTCCTCCAAAATAGTGCCGGCCCTAGCTGAGGCCCTTATGTGTGTTTCAGTTACAGGAGATCACCTTTAAGAATTATTACACAGCCTTCTTGAGTATTCGAGTGCGCCAGGTTGGTTCCCCAAACCAGTCATCCAACAAATGGATTACCTGTTTACGAGACTACTGTTTAATGCCCAATCCACACAATGAGGAAGGGGCCCAGGATTATGTGTCCCTATACAAGCATCAGGTCAGTGAGAACTGTCTCTCCACTGGAGTTAAGGTGAAGAGTGGGCTCTGGGGAGAAGAGACCTGACTCCTTGCTCTGTGAAGCTCACTTTTAACAAAGTTAAATATTTTACTAAGGGAGTATGAAGGTCTAAGAAAACCCCAGAGACTAGATTTTTTTTTTTTAAAAGAGGAGGGGGTATACCATTATTTGGTTATTTTATACTTGACAGACGCCCCCAGATAATGAGCATTTCCACATTACAAAGAACAGAAAAAGAAGATTGTATATGGAAGTGAAAATTTCCATTACATAAAGCTTGTTTCTTTTTACGTATATAATTTATTCAGGATATTAGTTCCAATATAGTCCCAGTTGTTTGTGTTTCCTCTGTACTTCTTTCTGTTCTGCTCTGAGAATTTGTTTAATGCTTCATTGATACTTTTGTCATTCTTTTATTGTATGACTATCATCTCACCCTTCCCCAGTTCTCCACTCTCCAGAACAAAAATATAAACCTCCCTTGTAACCAATAAGCATAGTCAAGCAAAACAAATCTACGTATTGGCTGTCTCCAAAAATGTTTATCTCATTCATCACCTTTATTCCATCACCCCTCTGTCAAGAGGTGGGAAGCATGTATATCATTGGTCCCCTGGAATCATTTTTTGTACATGTAGGTCCTTTTTCTCTTTTAACTCTTTGATGTATAAACTAGTAGTACTATCACTGGGTCTAAGCGTGTGCACAGTTTAGTGTTTGTTTTTTTAGTATAGTTCTAAATTTCTTTCTAGAAAGGCTGGACCAGTCCAGAGCCTGGAGTTAGATTTCTGTGGTGCCTAATTGATTTCTAGATGCTTTCTGGACTAGGGAAATAGATATTCAAGAAGGAAATATTTGGCCCAAGGGATTATAATAGTTCATATTTTATACAGGCAGCTCTCTGAGGAATTTTGGAATTGATTGTATAACATGGGAGATACTGGCAAAGGACTGCCCAGCATGGTGTGCCCACATCAGTGTGCAAATTTAGACATCTCTACTCCAAATGTTCATATGGACTATTTGTGCCTGACTTGTAGTAGAGCGTTCTACGCTTCTATTGGTCTGATCAGCTGCTGTCAGACATACTGTAACTTAACTTCAACATATTGATGTAATTTTGCTCCTCTTTAAGAAAGGACAGCAAAACCAGGCAGCTAGGGGGATACGGTGGATAATTAATGGTAATTAATAGTGGAGTGCTGGGCCTGGTCTCAAAAAGACCTGAGTTCAAATGCAGCCTCAGATGCATACCAGCTTTGTGCCCTGGGCAAGTCACTTAACCTCTGTCAGTTTTCTCAACTGTAAAATGGGAGAATTGTAAAACCTGCCTCTCAGGGTTGCTGTGAGGATCAAATGGATAATAATTGTAAAGTGCTTAGTACAGTGCCTGGCATACAGTAGGTGCTATATTTGTTAGTTATTATATGGCCCTTTGAGCCTAGAAAAGGCTTGAACCTTGTAGACAGGACAAGTGGCAGGGCCTTGGAACGAGGCTGGCTCTGGGTCCTCAGCATCTCCACTGCTAGGTAGGAGGGAGTTCTCTCACACCCCAAAGGGTGGGATTGGGGCGGGTTATCTCCTGTCGCCTGAGGGCCTTCTATCTGGGAAGGGACCCCATGGGAGGCATGCTGGTGATGGAGGTAGGTCTGCCTTTGTGCAGATGCTGTGTGACATGGACAAGGTGTTGGAGCTGCGTCTAATTCTGCGGCAGCCATCCCCACTATGGCTCAACTTCACATTGGAAGAATTGCAGTTTTTTCAGCATGGACCACAGGTGGGAGACTTTTTCCTGATTGAGGAGAACTGTCAGATAAGATGGATGATGTTTGTTCTGAAGCTTGTACTAGACTGTACGCATTAAACTCATCAAAGGAACAATATTTAAAAAAAAAAAAAAGGCAGAGGGGTGGGGTGTCCTGAAAGGATCAGTTCTTGAAGATCAGTCTCCTTTGTGTGTGCTTATAGCTGTGAGCATACACTTTCACTTTGGGTCAAGGCCTGGATGGAGTCATTTAACAAATTTTTATTAAGTGTCTCCTACTCTGTTCAGATCCCTTTGTTAGGTACTAGGTAAGATACTGCATTTATATATGACATGGTCTAAACACACAATCTAATAGACAGTGAAAATGAGTAAACCTTATCTTTGGGACAGACCAGCAGCATGAAAAGTCAAAGCCAGAAGAGCATGGGTGTATGAAAGGAGTGTGAGGGTACAGCAGCCAAGTTAGACTGGGAATTGTGAGGACAGGGCCAATGAGTGGTTCCATGGCTGTAACTGGGGCTGCAAATTATATACCAGATATCCTGGGAGTACTCTGACAACCCTCAGAGAAGCAGGGTATTTAGTGTGTGGAACTGTATCCCAAAGTCTGCTTGATTGGTAGATACATGTGGGTCCTCTGGTGTGCAGTCAGGACTGCAGAACCCTATCCTGTCACTTCTAAGTCCTTAAGGGGATTGAATGATGATAAAGCTGAATTAGAGAAAGAGGGAAGGTTGGTATCTTAGGGTTAGGCCTCTCCATGCCAGGCATTGACACAAATACATAGACCCAAATGAAACAATTCCTATCCTCAAGGAGCTTGTCTTTTATCGGGGGAGGCAACATGTAAACATCTTAAGTATTCACAAAAGATAAGGCGATTCTTGCAACCGAGGACATCTTTAAGAAGGCGGCATTGGAGCTAAACTTTGAAGGAAGCTATCGATTGTAAGAGGCAGAGGTGAGGCCCAGGTGGACTGCCTTTTGTGAGTAGTAGCAGCAGGGTCGTTTGGCTAAACTAAGGAGTGCCTAGAAGGGAGTACCGTATATAATAAGCCTGGAAGGGTAGGTTGGTGTCAGGCTGTAAAGAGTTACAAATGCCGAACAGACAGATCCTAAAAGTAATAGGGAGCCACTGGAGTTTATGGAGGGGAGGGCCATCAGATCTGCACATTAAAAGGAAAAGCACTTTGGCAACTTTATGGAGAGTAGATTAGAGAGGGGAAAGAGTTGAGGCAGGCAGACCAGTTAGGGAGCTATTGCTGTGGTCCAGGCCAGAAGTGTGAGGCCTGAACTGGGCTTGGCCGTGTGAGTGGAGGAAAGGGGATGGAAGGTAGAAGTGGCAAGATTTGGCAGCTGATTGGATGGATATGTGGAGTGAGTGGGAGAAAGAAGGGGAGGATGACTGAGCTTGTAGAAGGATAATGGTACCTTCTATAGAAAGAGGAAACTTTAGAAGGAACATGGGAGTGAAAGAGAACAAGTTCTCTTCTGAATATGTTGCATTTCTTCCCCCAACCCCATCTCCTTTGGTGGTGGTTTATCTAATAGAGTCCTTCATCAGCCTTTACCAAGTGGCTCTCGCACCCAGCACCCTATGAGCAGCCAGCGCTCCTCCTTCAGGTAAGTTCATCTTTTGTTTATATTTCTGGTTCCTCCCTGTCTCCATATACCTAGCTCAAAGCTTTTTATTTTCCAGATTATTAGTGCAAGTTTGTCAGATTGAGTTGGCCCGGTGCTAGGCCTCTCTCTGCAAGAACCTGGCTGTGGTGGAGGTGCCATCAGAACTGAACTGGGGACACTATGCTCACTTTTCCCTGAAGCCTCTGTATCCTTGTTCCCAGTTTCTGCAAACCTTGACTCCTTCATGGGCCTAAGAAACACAGTGAAAGGAAAGGCACTGCCAAAAGGGTTGTGACAGTAGGGAGTGACTGTGGCTGTCCTGGTACTGGGATGGAAATGATCTGTATACATCTATGTTGGGCACATTGGAATCATTCACTGCCCCACCCCACCTGTTGGACTACCTGCAGGCTGGTGCTTCTAGACCAGTTTAAAAGCTGTGATTATTAGTCATGGCTGTGGAAGCCCCACGAGTAAGAAGCAGAAGCTCTGCAGAGCCAGAAGGGGTTTAATTCTAGCTACCTACTGCTTTCTTCTAGTAAATCGTTGCTGTGTTTCTTTCAGCAAGCCCTCCCTGACCCAGATAAGGTCTCTTCAGAGGTACAGCAGATGTGGATGCTGACCGAGATGATCCGAGCCAACCGCACCACAGCCCGTATCGGCCGCTTTGATGTGAGTTGTCCAGCTGCCTCTGCTTTGAGCTCCCTAGCTCTTATTTGGCCATGATTGACTATCTCTGTTTGTGTTACAGGTGGATGGCTGTTATGACTTGAACCTGCTCTCCTACACGTGAACCTTCGAGGTTGTTTGGCTTCCAGACTTTGTTCATGACTGAGATGATTACTTTTTATTCGTGCTGAGGAGCAAGGCCATCCTGCAACAAAAGAGGCCAAGTGTCCCTTGTCTGCTCCCAAAGTATCATTCTCCTCTTTGCTTCTAGTTGAAGCTGCCAAGGCTTCTTGGTATTGATAAACAGCTTGAGTGTAAGCTCTGGGTAGAAACTCTCCCATCTGCTGGCTTCAGCCTGAACTCTGAGATGCCAACTTTCCCTCCTTCCCTGCCTCAGCTTCATCATAAAAACTCACCAATGTTACTTCTTTAGAACCAATGTGTGCGTAGTATTGACATGGTGTATTTCTTCTAGCTCCTTTCACACTCCTGCATAGTTACAGTCTTGCCTGTGTATTGCCTTAATGGTAACTTGTGGCTTCCTGTTGTTTCTGATCCTGAGCTCATTTGGCCTTGGGAAACTCCATTCTTTGGTATATCTGTTGTCCATATACCTATCGGCAGTACGAGGTCTTTCAACCAAGCAAGTCTTTTAAGAGCCCATGTACTGCACACTGTTCAAGGTGCAGAGGGACACAAAGACAAAAGACAAAGACCCTGCCCTTGAAGAGCTTACATTCTAACAGAGAAGACGATAATGTACGTATGTAGGTACATAAAAAAAAAAGACATAATTTAAGCTGGTTCTCTACCTCTTACCTGGCTCTGGCCTAAGTCTAAACCTGAATTAAATGTCTTGGTCTTTGGAAGTTTCAGGGTTTGTCTTTGTCATGGGAAACTGGAGCCAGTAGTCATTGTCTAAATTATAGTCCAGAGTAGACACAGGGCCCAAAGGTACTTGGGAGAGGAATCCCCATTTCATCCTCTTGAACTGACTAGAATCCTTCTCCAACACCCTGAGGTCCTGCAGCTTGTCACTTACAAAGCAGCATCTCTTTTCCTAGTCAGAATGTGCAAACCACAGATTGGAAGAAGGAGAGAGGGGAATTAAGACAGAGAGCTGGAGCTGGATGGACTGGGAATTGTTTTAGGAGTAGATTACTCCTCTCTCTGTCTCTTCCCTGTGTCTCTTCTCTTCCCCCCTCCCCAGGTTGACTAAGTCCAGCTGATGCAGAGCTTCTGCTGAGCCAAGCGGACACCGTACCTGCTGTCTAATCCTGAAAGTTCTATGCCATGCCATCTTGGTACTTGCTTCAAAAGGGACCATTTTTGAGCATACTGCTTCCAATAGATAGCCAACTTCCCTACTGTGATTAAAAAATATAATAATGTATTATCCCATTTGTTCTGGTGCCCAGCAAAGTTTATTACTAATAATACTTTAGTACGTGGCAAGACATGAATTAGTCTGTTGAGCGCAGGGACTAAGTACAGAACAGGTGCTAACAGCAGAGAAGCATTCCTACAAAGCAAACTGTGTCCAGGTGGACAGCAGGAACCTGCCAGATCTTGGTTCTCTTTCTACTGCAGCGTTTTGGTTATGCAGCTCCTGCTTGAGTAGTGGGGTAAGGACTAGATTGGTAGTTAGGCACAAGTGGATTTTTTAAAAATTGGGAGTTTCTGATGGCTTAGCAGCTAAAGGGTTAATTGCTTTGACTGCACTCCCCTTTTGAATTAAAGTTTAACTATTTTCCCCCTAATGTCCTCTCCTGACCACAGTTAAAAGTACAGCTTGATCTCTTCAAAAAGCTAAGTTCCTTTACATTCCGGACGGACTTGTTTGCTCAACTATCACTACGGTGCAGTGACCCAAGCATTCCCCTGGAAAGTCAGGGACAAACTTAGTTTATTTTCAGATACAGAAGCCAAAGAGATGATAGAAATGCAGTTGGGGTGAGCAGACCGTTCCTATTGTGTATGCTTGGATGAGCTGACAATTTCTTAAGCTTACAAGGATAAGCAAAGCCATTGCTTCCACAGGGAAAAGGGGGTGAGGGAAGGATTTCAAACTGTTGCTAGGATACCCCATTCTGGCCCTTATCTCCAAGCAGGCAGGCCTCCTAAGTTCTGCAGTCTGGATGATGTTATAAATGAGAGAACAATTTCAGAGAGGTTAAGTGATTTGCTGACAGTCACACAGTAAGAAGTAGATAAGGTTTTCCAAATCAGGTCTTTTGATTCTAAATATATTGCTTTTCCTACAATACAGGCCATACTCTTCCTATTTCTCAGGTGGTTGTCCAAGTGGCTGGTTCTTCTTTTTCTGATTCTCTTATAAGAATTTTTTTTAATTCTTTAGGAAAATACACTTCATGGGTGGGTATCTAAATTATCATTTTATCTCCTGAAATGAAACATGTTCCCCAACCCATACTAATACAATGATGGTGGATGAATTTACCTAAGGTGTGGAAGCCTTGCTTCAGAGGCAGCATCCAAATCTGGTTCCAGCAAGCAGCGATTGATACCATTGTTTGGTAAGAAGAAAACCTTGGAGTTTGGCGGATCGCTGGGACTGAAACTCAAAGACCCCCTTCAGGGCAAAGGGAGGGGGAAATGGAACTACATCTCCCACCGTCCTCTGCTGCTCAGCCGGCCAGCACCTGCGCGGTCAGAGAGCAGAGCCCCAGGCGAAGGGTCCAGTCCCAGCGTTTCGGCTTGAAGATGCAGCGCATTAGGAGCTCGGCTTGGCGTCTCTTTGACCCTCTTTGCAGCGGTGCGGCGGGGGTGCGAAGTGGCCACCCCACAGCAGCTCGACGGCCTCTCAGTTCGGGGCAGGTGGGATGGGATTCGGCCGGAGCTGCGGCCTAGGGGAGGAGACAAAGTGGAGGGGCTGGAGCCCTGGGGGCGGGGTGCTTCTGGGGAGAAAGGAGGCTCCTAAGAGTAGGCTGCAGACCCAGAGAAGGGGTTGGTGGTGCTGAAACCTTGAGGAAGAGCTGAGTTGGGTCTTGGGGGGAGAGAGGCGGAAACCTTGGAGAGGGGGTTCTGGAAGGGTGGGTGAAGGAAGAGGGTAGTTGGCCCTGGGGATGGTCTACAGGCAGGGGAGGGGAGGAGGGGGTTGGGGCGAGACGGTTCTAGGGAAGGTCTTTAAGCAGGAAAGGGGAGAGAGGAACTGAAGCCCCTAGGAGCGGTCTCAGGGAAGGAAGAGGCCCTGAGGAGAGACAAGTAGGGGAGAGTCTACAGGCAGGAAAGGGGAGAGGGCACAGGTTTGGGGATTTGGGGAAGTGGAGCTTGGCCTGGGGAAGAAGTCTATATGGGCAGGGAAAGGGAGAGGAACCGACTTGGGGAGGGACAAGTGGGGGGGGCTTGGGGAGGGCCAAAGGTAGGGGAGGAGATGTGGCTTTAGGGAAAGGGCATCAGCCGACCTGGAGAAGGTCTTCAGACAGGGAAAAGGAGGGAGATGTAGGTTTTGGGAATGGAAGAGGGAAATGGGCTTAAAAGTCAGTAAACATTAAGCACCTACTGTGTGCCCAGCCACAGTGCCTAAACTGGGATTATAGAAAGAGGCAAGAAACAGCCCCAGCCCTCAAGGAGCCCACAGTCTAACTGGGGAGACAACAAATAAGTACAAACAAGTTATATACAAGATAAGAAAGATGAAGGGGGCCTAGGCCCTGAAACGCCCCCCCTCAACTTTCTTGAACTTTCCCACATTGCCACGTCTCTGGTGGTCACCTGAGGCATCATCAAAGTTATCCTCTCAACTGGCCTTACTTTGTGGCCACTCACTATCTCCCAATTCTATTACCTCTGACCCAGGCCAGCATTCTTTGTTACCTCCTGATTGCCCCTGGCCCCTTAGCACCCTTGATTCTATCTCCCTTGGCCACACGGTCCAGATCCCTGGTGTTCTGTTATCTCAGAGTGACCCCAGCCTACTGACCACTCCTAGATTCCTCCCACAGTCTTTCTGTATGTAAGATCCCTCTTGGCCTCCATTAAGGGGCTCAGATTCAATCTGGCCCGCTTGCATTACTGATACAGATGCTTAGATTCTTTAAGAATCTGGCCAATATAGAGAATTTTTAGAATCACGCACACCTTGACAGGTGTTCTAATAAACCTTGTCTTTGACTGAAAGAAGGCTTGGGTCGAATTGATTCGAGGCAGGACCTGCTTGTCGCTATTTCAGGGTCCCAGCATCCCTAAACCTCAACAGAAACAAATAAGGGAAGGCACTAAGAATTAAGTGGGCTTGGGAAAGGCTTCCTGAGGAAGATGAGATTTTAGTTGGGATTTAAAAGTGGAAGAAAAGGAAATGGTCCCAGAGAAGATGGGGTCCTGTTAGAGGTAAAGAAAGAAGACCCCAAGAGAAAGTGAGAGTGTATGAAAAGGGCCCCGAGTAGAGACTCAAGCCTTATTTCCATCCTACCTGCCCAGTGTGGGACTAGGTGTGGAGAGGCCAGCTTCTCAGACCAATGATTTCATTCCCTGGCAGGAACCCTTGAAGAAAACACCCCTGTTTGATTTCCATCAGAGCCACGGTGGGAAGATGGTGTCCTTTGCTGGTTGGAGCCTACCTGTACAGTACCGGGACAGCCACATAGAGTCCCACCTGCACACCCGAAGACATTGCTCCCTATTTGATGTGTCCCACATGCTGCAGGTGAATGACCTCTCCCTAAGTGCAGGATGAAAGGAGGGAGGCGGGCTAGTTCTGACTGTTCAAGTACCATGGCCACTTGTTTTCCCTAGGCTCTTGGCTACGCCAGCCAGGCACTGTGTAGACTTGAATAGTTAAGAATCCTAAAACGTTAGAGCTAGAAGAGACCTTAAAGATTATCTACTACAATGGCCCTCCCTTGGCACCCCTCCTCCCAAGCTAAAGGAATGTTAGGGTTCATTAGTGGGAGGACTTTGGAGAAGTGATTTTATTTTTAATCAGGATTTTGAAATCTTGAGAAGGACAAAGCTAAACCGTAGACCTGTGAGTAGGTGAGGATAGATTGTGTACACATGGTTTAGTATTCGCTCCGAAATCCTGAATTGGTTTCAGGCTGAGTTTTGGGGGGGTCACCGTGCATGGGCCCCCAGTTTGTGAGTTCAGAAACTAATTTCCACCTGGGTAATCAGGGTCCAGCAAAGGACTGAGAGCTAATACATGGAAATATTTGTACCTAAAAAAATCGGGCTCAGGGTAACTGAGTCAATAATGGAATAAATGAGGTTTCTGGAGTCAGAGGACAGACCTCAGTTTGAATTCTGCCTCTCCATGTACAAGTAATCCCATTCCATCTGTCTTCTCTAGCATATTGCCTCCTCTGTCATCCCTCCTCTCTCACTAATCTTCAGTCTCTTCTTTTCTCCTAGCTGCCTCCTTGCTGCTTACAAACATGCCCATGTCTCCTATCCTCCAAAAAAACCAAAACAAAACAAACAAAAAAAAAAAACCAAACAAACAAATAAAACCCTCACTTCTCCAGAAGGCTGTCTGCTTCTTGTTCCCTTAACTCACTGTGCTCTGGCTTCCGATCTCATCATTCAACTGAAATTGCTCCCTACCAAACTGCCAAGAATTTCTTAACTATGAAATCTAATGACCTTTTTTTTTTTTTTAAACTCCTCATTCTTTTTGACCTTTCTGCAGCTCTTAACACAGTTGAGCATCCTGTTCTCTCTAGGTTTTTAATGACATTACTTTCTTCTACCTCTTTTTCTACCACTGTGACTACTCCTCAGTGTCTTTGGTTGGATCTTCTTCTGGGTCATGCTCACCAACTTAGGGTGTCCCCCTAAGGCTCTGCCTGGGCCTTCTTCCCTTCTTTGTTAATACTCTATCATAAGTGCCTGTCAGTTAAATTATCATTTCTGTGTAGATGATTCTCCAATCTAACTTCTCTCTCAGCCTCCCATCTCGAATCTCCAACTGCTCATTGATATCAAACTGGGTGTTGCGTAGACATCTTAAAATTAACATGTCCCAAAACTAAACTTATTATCTTTCCCTGCAAAGTCCTTCCCTCTTCTTGACATTGCTATTACTGTCCAGGACACTGCCATTTTCCCAGTCATACAGGTTCTCAACCCAGGCTGAGTCTGTCAACTAAGTCCCTTTCCTTAAGTCCTCACTCTTACTTCCATATCCAATCAGTTGCCTTTTACACTCTCACTTTCTCTTGGGGTCTTCTTTCTTTACCTCTAACAGGACCCCATCTTCTCTGGGACCATTTCCTTTTCTTCCACTTTTAAATCCCAACTAAAATCTCATCTTCCTCAGGAAGCCTTTCCCAAGCCCACTTAATTCTTAGTGCCTTCCCTTATTTGTTTCTGTTGAGGTTTAGGGATGCTGGGACCCTGAAATAGCGACAAGCAGGTCCTGCCTCGAATCAATTCGACCCAAGCCTTCTTTCAGTCAAAGACAAGGTTTATTAGAACACCTGTCAAGGTGTGCGTGATTCTAAAAATTCTCTATATTGGCCAGATTCTTAAAGAATCTAAGCATCTGTATCAGTAATGCAAGCGGGCCAGATTGAATCTGAGCCCCTTAATGGAGGCCAAGAGGGATCTTACATACAGAAAGACTGTGGGAGGAATCTAGGAGTGGTCAGTAGGCTGGGGTCACTCTGAGATAACAGAACACCAGTCGATTCTACCTTCACAATATCTCTTCTGCTAAAACCATCTTTCAATCTTTTTTCAAGACCAAGATATTTGGTCAAGATCGAGTGAAGTTGATGGAGAGCTTGGTGGTTGGTGACATTGCCGAACTAAAGCCTAACCAGGTAAGGGCCTTCCCTGTCAACTCCCAGCTGTTTCTCCCTCACTCCTTCTTCCCCCATTACATAAATGCCTACATAAAAGTGCCTACTGACTTACTTTACCAATGTTCTTACTGCCACTAGAGGGACTGCTACTTGGAGCTTAGCCCCAGGTAAGTTTGTACTACCAGTGAGCCCAACCAGGGCTTTATCTTAGGGCTGCAGCTGAACTTAGGCTGTTAGGATAGGCCCATTGACAGATTTCAATTTCAACAGCTGATGTACTAACACCACATTAACTGCTATGTATGTGTGGTGATCCCCTCAATAAAATCCAATTCTGGTGCCTCATTGTAATGTGTCTAGGCTTCCTGGTTCTCATAGACTTTGCCAATAGAGTTCAACCTATGGCAGGTCTTAGTGGGTTTTGTATATGGGCATGGTGCCAGGCTGTATCTGTGGTTCCATGACAAGCCTGCTTGAGCTGGGGGGCCTCATCACAAGGTTGGCTGCAAGTAACGTCAAGCCAGGGCAACTCTCAAAGACCATCTTCTAAATTGTGAAAGGATTTCAGTCTGTGTTGGTGGAGTGGGGAGTATCTAGACCAACCCAATGAAGTGTTCTTGAAGTACTTATGGAAGAAAGGAGCAGGAAGAATACCATGTCGTGCAGGCCATCTTAATGGTGTAGTGATGCTGTACTTCTGAGTAAGGCTTATTTGTAATGGGGGCAAAGCATGATCAAGGCCATTAGAAAAATTCAGCTGAAGGGAATTTAACCACCACATGTAGGGATTGGTGTTAGGAAGTGTATATACCCCAATCACAAACTAAGCCCTGGCCCTGATCCTGACACATCTTTTCTTCTGGAAACACAGCTTAGCACCAGAGTCCTGCAAGCCTGAGTAAGATGTGTGTCTACAGAGGAGACCCTTGTTAAGCCGCCTTGTTAGCCATTAAAGATAAGCATGGTTCTGCTGCTTAGTTCACTCTGCAGGAGAACAGTTTATACTTTACACTAGAATGTTAATATTGTAAAAACAAAACAAAACAAAAAACAGACAGTTCTGAAAGACTTAAGAACACTGATGAATGTAATGAACAGCATTGATTCTAGAGGACTGATGATGAAGAATGCTGCCCCCCTCATGACACAGAGTTGATGGACTAATAGGCAGAATGAAGAATAGGTTTTTGGATATGGCCAATGTGTATGCTTGACAATGCTTATTTGCTACAAGTGTTTTGTATTCTTTTTTTTTTCCCATGGTGGGGGTGATAGGAAGAGGGCAATATAGGTAGAAGGGGTGAAAAATAAGTGTTTGTTAATAGAGAAAAAAAAATTTTTTTAAAAAGATGAGCTTGCCCAGTCATTGGGGTGGTCTCATAGATCAGTGTTTCTGCTTTGTAGCTGTTGGATCCTTTGGTCCAGGCTTCAAGCCCAGGGCTCATGACCAGAGGGTGATGTGCTTGGTCTTGGTAACAGGGGACACTGACTCTTTTCACCAATGAAGAAGGTGGTATCATAGATGACCTGATTGTGACAAACACATCTAACGAGTATCTGTACGTGGTGTCCAATGCTGGGTGTCGAGAGAAGGACATGGCCCTCATGCAGGTAGGGGATGTTATTCGATGGCTGGTAAGTCTTAGGGGGTAGTGGTAGGGGAACAACTATCACTGGAGGTGGGTCCTGGTGGTCATTAGAACCTGGATTGAGAACTGTTTGACTATGGGACCAAACATGGGCCCATGTTCACAAACCTTTGTCTCTACTTTCAGAACAAAGTATCAGAATTGAGAAGTGCTGGCTGTGATGTGAATATGGAGGTGATTGATAATGCCTTGTTAGCCCTGCAAGGTGAGTGTATTCCTTTCAAGCATTGCCACAGTAACCTGGGACGTAAACAGTGAGAGGAAGGGAGGAAATAGGTCTCTCCTTTAAATCTTTTTTCTTCCCCCCATACGTCCACAAAACCACAGAACAACAGCTGGCGTGGTTTCCAAGCAGTGTGCTAGGCAGAGCTCTGACCCCTTTGCTCCTTACGTCAGGTCCCTCAGCGGCCCAGGTGCTGCAAGCTGGGGTGTCAGATGACCTTCGGAAGCTGACCTTCATGACCAGTGCCGTGATGGATGTGTTTGGAATACCTGGCTGCCGTGTGACACGCTGTGGTTATACCGGGGAGGATGGTGTGGAGGTATATAAGGACACAGTGGAAAGAGCATTTTGTTTCAAGTCAGACGACCTAGGTTCAGATCTCAGCACAGATGTTTATGAGCTCTGGAAATTTGGGCAAGTTCCTTCCCCTGCTAGGTCTCAGTTTCCTCCCTTGAAAATGATGATAAACTAAATGGTCTTCAAGGTCCCTTCTGGCTCTAAAACCTGAGGCACTACTATGCACACCTTCTCCCTATCCCCAAGTTCTCAACAGGGCTAGGATGGTGTCAGCCTGCTTTAGGATAGCTGTGCCCTGGGGGCCATGGGCACTCTCTTGGGGAACAGCTAGCTTCCTTCCTACAACCCCATTACTTGTATTTCACACAGATCTCGGTGCCAGCAGAGAAGGCTGTCCACCTGGCAGAGGCACTGCTGGAGAATAAGGAGGTCAAGCTGGCAGGGCTGGCAGCCAGGGACAGCCTGCGGCTGGAGGCAGGTCTGTGTCTGTATGGGAACGACATTGATGAGAGCACCACCCCCGTGGAGGGGAGCCTGGGCTGGACCCTGGGTGAGTCAGGGCAGGGGTAACCATGGCAGCTTCCCCTGCTGGGTCCACCCATGGCAAGAGGTGGAGGCTGGGGCCAGATATGGGGTAAATTTTGAAGTGTCATTTGTGCATTCATTCAGACATTTAGTAAGCACTTCCTGCATTCAGAACCCTATATTTAGGAACGGGGAAAGTACAGAGTTTTGCTATGACATGATCCCTGTCTTCCTGGAGCTCACAGTGCAACACAGCAACATGAAATAGACTTATTTTTGTACTTTAGCAAATCATAGGTCTACTTAGAAGGATCCTCAAAAGGCCTAATCTAACCCCCTCACTCTACAGATGAGAAAATGAAGGCCCCAGGAGGCAAATTGACTTGTCCTGGGTCATATAGACAGTGTCAGAGGTGGGATTCTTACCCATGTTGCCTCATTCTCCAGAGAGGCTTTTTTCTATATATTTTCATATATTAAGGTTACCACTACATCACTTACGCTGGGGATCTGTTGTACTTCATTCTTGCTACGTGACCCAGCCCATTTCCTGAGTGGCTATAGTATGTGAAAAGTACATTAGGAAGGTGAAAAATGCTATTTGAGGAAGTGTGATATAGTGGAAAGAACCCTAAATTAGAATAAAGAATTTTTTTTAATTAAATTTTTTTTAATCAGCAAAAATCCATCTTCTCTCCCTCTCAACCCCACCCTCCCAAATGAGAAAGAAAGAAAAACAAAACTGCTATTACAAGCATGTATAGTCTGCATCTGCAAAAGGAAAATATGCCTCATTCTGTACTCTGCTACTTTCACCTCTGTATCAGGAGATTGGGAGTATGTTTCATCATTGGTCCTCTGGAATCATGGTTAGTCATTATGCTAATCAGAGTTCTTAACTCTTTCAAAGTTGTTTATCTTTATAGTATTGTTGTCATTGTAGAAATTGTTCTCTTTGTGCTGCCCACTTCACTCTGTATCAGTTCATATAAGTCTTCCCAGGTTTCTCTGAAACCATCCCCTTTATTATTTCTTACAGCACAATAGTTTTCAATTACATTTAAATACCATAATTTATTTAGCCATTCTTCACTTGATGGGCAGTCCCTCAGTTTCCCATTCTTTGCCACCTCAAAAACTATAAATATTTTTCTACATTATTTTAGAATTTGTTTTCCTTCTAATCTCTGCCTTAATCTTCCCTCCTCTTAATTTTCCCTTGTCCCCTCTCCCACCTCTTTCCCTGTTCAGTGAAATATATTTTTGTAGCCAACTGTCTATGTGTGGCCATTCCCTCCTTTGACCAGTTCAGAAAAGAGTGAGGTTCAAATGTCAGCTATTCTTCTATCCTTTCTTCCTTGTCTGTATAGACTTCTGATTGCATACCACTATTGTGTGAGATAATTTCCCCCATTTTTCCTTCTTCTATCTCCTCCCCAATGTATTCCTCTTCCCTCCCCTTTTCCATTGTTTTAAGGTCATCGAGAGAGACACACACACACACACACACACACACACACACACACACACACACACACACACAC